ACAACCATATCAGTTTAAAAAAAAAAAAGAAAAAATCTGCCACTTTTGTGTAGGTATATGAGTAACTGGCTTGACTCCCGTCACATGAACTTATATGAATTCTATCATTTTCAGCATGCTCATTGCTTGGAGACCTCTAAAGATAGATAGTACAACTTCACCTAAAACTTCATATTTGGGTTTAACTACATTTTTAGGATTTTGTGAACAGTACCAGAGGAACAAGGAGCCCTGGTGTTGCAGTAGTTAAGCCTTCAGCTGCTAGCAAAAGGTTGCCAGTTTGAACCCTACCAGCTCTATGGGGTGACTGTGAGTCAGAATGGACTAGATGGCAATGGGATAGTTTTGTATTTGGGGTTACTAGATTCTTAATATGAACCATAATTAAGATAGTGCTCTCACATGTAGGTTAGATGTCAAATAGTCTTCAAAAGTCAGTTTAGTGCTTTTATCCTGTGGAACAATAGGAGGCCTGCAGCCTTTATCCCAATCTCTTCAAGCCTACTTTTTTTCCATTTTTTTTTACTACCCCTTTTAATCATTTAAAAAGGAACTCTGATGGCATAGTGGATAAGGCATTTGGCTGCTAACCAGGTCAACAGTTCAAACCCACCAGCTGCTTCGCTGAAGGAAGATAGGGCAATCTACTTCCATGAAGATTTACAGCCTCAAAAACCCAATGGGTGTTGCTGAGGTGGAATCAACTCAATGACAGTGAGTTTGGTTTGGTATAATCATTTAAGGAAAAATTAGCACATCTTGGAAGGAAGGCGGGGCAATCTACTTCCCTAGTGATACTACCTCAGAAACTCAAGGAGGGGTCGCTATGAGTGGGGTCCGACTCGACGGCACATAACAACAACAACAATGTGTATTTCAAACCCACCAGCCATTCCTCAGAGGAGAGTTGGGCAATCTACTTCTGTAGTGATACCGCCTTGGAAACGCAAGGAGGGGTCGCTATGAGTCGGGTCCAACTTGACAGCACATAACAATGTGTATTTTTGGGAAGTACAACACTATGTTACTTAATATTTAAATATTCCTGGAGTTCCATTAAGGAATTCTGGTGCTGCAGTGGTTAAGGTATTTGGCTGCTAACCAGGTCAGTGGTTCCAACCTACCAGCTGCTCTGGGGGAGAAGGATGAGGCACTCTGCTTCTGTGAAGATTTACAACCTTGCAAACCCCATGGAGGAGTCCTTATGAGTTGGAATCCACCAGATGGCAGTGAGTTTGGTTTGGGTTTGAGAGTTCCATTGGCATCTCCATATATAAGGTACCAAAACAAGAGTCCAACAGTTAATTGATGAAGAAAATGTAGTCAAATTTACGTTTACATGCCTAAGCATTAAACACAAAAGACACAGCCCCTTTACACATGGGGCTCAGGGAGACTCACTCAGTATACCAGGAAGTCTGAAAAAACCATGTGACATAAACAACAGCCTTAGGAAGAATAGGCTAAAGATGAAAGATGTATCTTTAAATATTTGAAGGTTATCACATAGAAGGAATAAGTTTTTTTTAATGTTATTTCAAGGATAGAACCAAGAATAGAAGGGAGTTACAAAAATATAAAATTTTAACTCATAACATTTTGCCAAATAATAGAATCAAACCCACTGTCGTCATGTTGATTCTGACTCATAGCAACCCTGTAGGAGAGAGTAGAATTACTCCATAGGGTTTCCAGGGCTATTGTCTATAGGGAAGCAACCTGACACATCTTTCTCCTGCAGAGCAGCTGGTGGGTTTGAATCGCGACCTTTCAGTTAGAAGCCAAGCACTTTAACCATGAGGGTTTCTTAAATAACAGAACAGGCCACCTAATACAGCTGTAACTGGCTTAGGTGGAAGGAGGTGATTTCTAACATTCCTCCCAATTTTGATTCAGTGAAGACCTCCCACACTTCCTCTTGTGTGATATTCAAAGTTGAACCCAAATGAAACCTGCTGCCATTGAGTTGATTCCAACTCATAGTGATTCAATAGGACAGAGAATTGGCCCATAGGTTTCCAAAGCTATAAATCTTTACAGAAGCAGACTCATCTTTCTCCTGCAGAACACTTATGGAATTAGCAGCCGAGTACTTCACTATTGCCTTAATTACTGTACAAACAGAGCTTCTTTCAAGGGTAAAAACCAAAAAACTAAACTCACTGCCATAGACTTGATTCCAATTCATAGTGACTCCCATTGGGTTTCCAAGCCTGTAAATCTTTATGGAAGCAAACCACCTCATCTTTCTTTCACAGAGCAGCTGGTGGGTTGGAACTACTGCCCTTTTGGTTAACGGCCAAAACCCTTAACCACTATACCACCAGAGCTCCTTTTTCAAAGGTAAAGGAACCATTCATAACAATGTTGGTTAGACCTAGGCCTATCTGAACCTTCCTTTTTTTTTTTTTTTTTTTTCTAATTTAGGCTGAAGAATTCTAAGTACAGTGAGATTTGCAAAGGGTATGTATATGAGAAAGTTTCAAATAGTTTAAGCTTTATTTTCTCTTTAAAAATAAAAAATTATGAGCATTTGTTCTTTTAAATAACTCTGAGCACTTGTTATAATTTTCTCTGTATCAACTCTTGCTTTGTGAAACACAAAATACATAATGATCCTCACAATGTTATAGCATTCAGAAATTCTGGAAAAGTATTTTTAATCTTTGTTTGGTTAGGGATTTAACACTAGCATTAATAATTTCTATAATTCATTCAAAGAGAGAAACCAGATCAACTTTATAAAGGTTACAAAATTACAAACTTGGCTTAATTATCTTTTTAATGTTGTTGTTGTTATTTGTAGGCTTTATTTTTAATCTGGTTTCAATGGAAGCTGGAGGTCTGTACTGTGCTCTCCTTATATTTAGAAGAAGCTAAATTGCCATGCTACTTTTAAAGAAAGCTTTGAAAAGAAAACATATTACATAGGACACACAAAAGTGAGACGTCATCAAATACTGCATGTTTGAAAGAACAATAAATTATTTAAGAGTCAAAATTTCTAAAAACAATTATATACCAAAGTTAGACCTCATTGACACTGGATACAAAACAAAACATACTGCCCTTGAGTTGGCCGGACTCATAGCGACCCCTCCTTGGGTTTCCGAGGTGGTATCACTATGGAAGTAGATTGCCCAACCTTCTTCCCGGGGAGTGGCTGTGGGTTTGAACTGCCAGCCTTCTGGTTAGCAGTCAAGTGCCTTAGGCACTATGCCACCAGAGCTCCCCATTGACCCTGGATAGAGTGAAAGAAAAATGTGGAACAAAACTCAAAATCATTTAAAAAAAAAAAGTCCAGACTTACCAGTCTGATAGATACTGGTGAAACTCCCGAGACTATGGTCCCTAGTCACCCTTTGAACCTGGAATTGTACCTACTCCAGTGGCTTTCAGCCTAACTGTAGACATGCCTACAAGGTGAACATTTATACCAGATAGGTACTCTCTTTAGAAAAATCAACCATGGGAGATCAGAAGGGCAGCATTTGCACAGGGAGATAGCTCAGAGGGCAGGAATGCATGGGAAAGAAGGACACAAGGAAAAGATAACCAACCACAGGGAGGAAGTGGGAAGAATGTGGTTACATTATGGGAATTACAATCAATGTCATGAAACAAAATGTATATGAACTGTTGAATGGAAAACAAATTTGCTCTGTAAACTTTCACCCAAATCACAATTTTTTTAAAAAAGTTACACTGCATGGGAACACAGCCTTAAAGTCTTTTGTCTCCACAACTGAAAAATAGCAAATCAGGTTTCAGACAGACACATCAAAACCTTACTTTAATAGACTTGGTTGGAGCTACTCCTTAATAGGAAACCTACTGTCAAGGAAGTACTTAGGATAAAAACTCTCTCCTCTCAGTTCATTAACATTCAATTTAATATACATCTCTAAAAAACAAAGCAAAAAAAAAAGAAAGTCTATAATCATCAGAACTCAGGAAGTTGCTAAAATCAGACCAATTAAGATTTGTATTTGGAAAGAATAGAAGAGAAATGCCTGGTAGGATATAACCATAGGAAGCACACAATGGATAGTGGATTATGAAAATAAGTATTTGTTTATTGCAAACAAATTTCAGAAAGAAAAAAACATGCCTATTAAAACATGGTTAATTTTTACAACAGAGTATCAGTGAGCAAAAGGTTTGATGAAGAAGCAAGAATATCACTTATCAAGTAACAATATAACCACCTCATCAATTATACCCCTGGTTATCTTGAAAAGTTTTGTGGTAGCTGTGAGGACTTTGGATTTATGGGATAATTTTATTGATTTCCAGCTTTAAACATACAGGCCAAAAAGGTAGTATTTTATGCTATTAAATTAAACGCATATCCTAGGAAAATTCCTCTCAATATAGTCTATGGAATCTTCCTTCCTATTCTATGCTAGTATTTTACTTTTTGTTGGAAGTTTGATTATCAACCGTTTAAACCTTAGCACCAAAATACCTTACATTTTTCTAAACAAAAGACACCCATCCAAACTTTTCTCAATAATTGCATCTTTGGCCCCCTTTCTGAAAATGGCTATAGGTTCAGTTTAATTAATACTGAATTTTGTTAATGTGCAAAAATCTAACTCTGCTTTTTAAGCAAACAAAAGGAACAAAAACATGGCAGCATTCCAATAATCAAATGCCAATAAAAATGGCAACAGTACAAAGATCAAAGCAAATCTCAAACACAGCATTTTTATAATTAGAACACCATGCAATGATTTGTTTTTAGCAAGAACAAAAAGCTTAATTAACAGGTAAAAGGAGGAAATCAAATACTGCATTATACTGAATACTAACCTAAGTAGCCATATATTAATCTTACAAACTCCAATGTCATAACTACTTGCTTTTAAATAAATTTAAACCTAATTTTTAAAACAAATGCCATTCAACAAACCTAATTGGAACAAATATGTTTATGCAAATTTACATCATAGAGTACCAGAGTAAACAGGAGACATTAGTCAAAATTGAAATAAGTTCTATTCTTTTTCATCATCTGTGTGATCAGGTTGCAAAGGACGTGTTCTGTTGAAAGAACAGAGAATTTCAATAGTCACTCAAATATCAACTATTTAAACAAAAAAAAAGTAGTTAAAAAATCTATGTACATAGGAGCATCAATAGTGCATTGAGTCTGGTCGAGTGAATAGAAATAAGGGAAAATTAAACTCCATTAATTGACAAACCAACAAGTTTCAAGTACTATAGCAACAAAAGTTTTAACAACTTATTTTGCCTATTAATTAGCAGAATCAGTGTTTCCCCTGACGGATATGTTCCATTTTTATTAAAAAGGGAATCTTTGTTTCTATGGCATCTTTCAACAGGTTGCTAAATGAATTGATAAACAGTATAATCCTACAGCAAGAACTTTTTTGGATAATAGAAAGCCAAAAAAATAAAATAATAACTAATGTACTTGAGCAGAGAAAACATATGGACAAGTTGTCATATTTAACAGTATATACTTCTGAACAATATAAATGTTTTACTTAGATTAGAAAAATCCAAAAATTGTTTAAGTTTCAAATGACAGTCATAGATTAGAAAATAATTTACATTATCCAAAGCCATTTTTGTATTTCATATACTTTTTCTTGAGAAAATTCTATTAAAACATATTGTATTTTTGTATGTAATGCTCACTTGTAAATAATGCACCCATAGGAAACTTAACATAGGAGGGTGTTGAGCAGTTTGCAAAAACTGTATAATGCCTGCATTATTTGTGTAAAAATATGGTAATTGTAAATCAGATTTCTTATTTTAGTCTTGGAGAAGTTCTGTGGACACTATCCTAATATTCTTAGTTTTCAAATCAGATCTAGTAGGTCATAGAGCTAGGCAGTGAAAGAAGGAAGCTAAAATTCAGATATTTGGACTCAGTGTAAAGTTATCATTGATTCACCTACTATTAGATTACAGAGAGCTCTTCATTGTATTTTCCTGGAAGATAAATCACGTTATCAAATTAACACTGTCATGATCCAAACTTCCTTTTTGCAAAGGTCTGGTTTATTTTACACATCATGGTTCATTAAGGTAGGTAGTGTTTCTTGATTCTGATTTCCCCCATAGAGCTGATGAACATTTACCCTGCCTTTGGGAGAAAAATAAGGCCACAAGAATAACCATATATCAGAATATGAATTAGGAAGTTTATAGCAGAAGTCCTCCAATAAATTCATTAACTATTTCAATAAAAGGGTAATTACAATTTCCCTAAACAAAGACAAATCTAAACAAAGGGCCTAAATGAATAATGTAAAACTGAGTTACTTAATTTTAGAAGAACATTATGATGTCACAGATTTTATTAAACCATGGATTAAAGTTCTTTAGAAGGATATATAATTTCTCTCCATGTGGTAGAAAGGTTTGTTCCTATGATGACCAGTGTTACAATCACATTTGACTATACTGGGAGAACAGAAGGGCAGTATTTGCACAGATAGCTAGCTCAGGGGGCAGGAATGCGTAGGAAAGGACACAGCAAAGAGGTAAAAATGGGGGGGGGGAGTGGGAAGAGAACTGTTACATTGTGGGGAATTACAGTCAATGTAATTTTGTTTGTCATGAAACAAAATGTGTATGAACTACTATATAGAAAATGAATTTGCTCTGTAAACTTTCACCCAAATCACAATGATTTTTTTTAACAAAACAACATATCAGTTTTTAAATTACAAAAAATATTCAAAATAATCATAAATAAAAAGCATTTCAAGATTAGTTGAAGTTGATACATTTTTAATCTTTGGAATCAAGGTAAATATGGTAGCTAAATGAATCTGGCACTCTTGTTGGGTAGGAATGTATGATGGAAAATGACTACCATTTGACTTTATAAACGAATAGGCAAGAATTACTCATTATAGTTGGATTTAGATTTGGAGTAGATTCCAATCCATCATTGCCCTGGCTCATGTCAAATATTACATAGAAAGTCAAATGCAATGTCAATCCAAAGCCCAAATGTAAATTCCCAAGAAAACAATGAAACCTTAGCAATGTAAAACTTTACCTAGAGGATGTCAGCATGAAAGTACTACAGCTAAATGAATACACCAAAGATTTACTAAAACATCTGGAGTATCCTTCCAATGTACATATAAATAGACTCATGGAAACTTTTTATATTACCTAATAGTGACATAGGCATTTGACTGCTAATCAGAAGGCTGTTGGTTCAAACCCACCAGCCACTCGGAAGGATGACTGGGCAATCTACTTCCATAGAGATACTGCTTCAGAAACCCAAGGAGGGGTTGCTATGAGTCGGATCTGACTCAGTGGCAATGAGTTTGGTTTTGGTTTAGTAAAAACTGAATCTCTATTCTATAGCCCCTCCTTTTTCTCTAGATCAAGATGAAATATATTCTTATTTTCAAGAATATTAAATGTCCAGATTTATTAAGTTACATTGAATGAAATCTTATTTTTAACTAATTTTACATGTTGTCACTCTCTCTTCAATCTTATACATGGAACTCCAGCAACTGTAATATTGGCATTCATTGTTTGTCAACTCCTTTAGATATTCTTCAAAATCATCAAATTTAGGATTCTCAACATGTGTCAGTAAAACAAGATGTTGAATTAGTAGATTTGGTGAAGGTCTATTTTTTCCTTGCCGCATGAAGGTCTATTTTTTCCTTGCCGCAATGGACTTGTAGATACTATTTGGACTGGATTTTAGAAGATGGGTGGGAGAAGTATAGATGTCTCTGGGCTGAGTCTCTTAACAATAGAAATGGAGAAAAAAGGAGAGGAGACCACAAGGACACTGGCTTTAGACTACTGAGCACGAGTGCTCACCTTGGTAGCAGCAACAGTACCTTCTGCTCCACCTGTGAACAAACCTACATGGGTAGGAGCTGTGCCAGAAGCCGCACCCCAGCCCAAGCACAGCCACCATGCCTCACTTATGTCTGCTTAGTTGTTGCACAGCTCATAAGGCTGGCTGCTCTGTGCATTGGAGGATTGCCGGGTCCTGACTGGTGCAAGGCAGCAACCGTTGTCTACCACCATGGCGTTCACTTGGTCCTGCCTGCTCACCTATTCCTGCCAATCCACTTCCTCCTCTCTGGCCAAGTACTTTGTTTTTGAAGCAAAATATTTACAAGGTATTTACAGGGTCTAGATATCATTACTAACCTAATTATTTTAAAAAAGGTTTCTGTTGTGTTTTTTTTCCAAGTGACGTATTTTTTCTAGATTCTTAAAAGTGATGTATGTTTGTTATTGACAATTAGTGATTATGAGAAGATTTTCACCCAGAGATAATTACTATTGATATGTGCTTTATTTTATACAGTATATATGCATATCATTTGCACAATAAAGATTGTAATTTTGTATCCAGAATTTTTGGTTAATATTTATCTGATCATTTTCCTGCATTAAAGCTTAAAATGATTTAATTAATTTCTTAAAAAGATTGCACAATAAACTTTGTGTGTATAGTTTTATCCCCACCTTATTTTTTTCTTAAGTATTCCTATGTATTACAGAGAAGTTGGAAAGAAAATATACATTGGTGATAGTCTTGGCTGTTTCTAGGTGGTGGGATTTCTGTATTTTCCAACGTTTCTACATTGGTTACATATTTCTTGTGGAAGTTTAACTAACAGTTTTTGTAGAGGTAGAGTTGATGGAATTCAATCTAGAATAAGCCAAAGTGAAAAAGTTTTTTTTTTTTTTTTTAAAGAAAAACTGTAAAAAGTAAACAGTGAAAATTAAAGAATAAAGACAGGAGAGTCATGGTTAATAATGTAGCACTTATCATCTGAATAGGAACTCATTCCTCTTTGAGTGAATGGAATGAGTAAAAATAATATCTTTCACTGATGTTTGATATTTGGGGGGTGACTTACAATAAACGATTTAATACAAGTTTTAAAAACCTTTGGTTTGTATTATTATATCAGCTTGAAGAGAAACTTCATAGTTACTCAATATTCCTTTTGTCCTCTATTTTCCAGAATATAAATATTAATATTCCAGAAAATAAAAACTTACTTTCTCTTTGCTTTTCCTAAGCCACTACTTCCTGCTTCTTCTGGAATCCGATTCTCTTTTTCTGAACCTTTAGAGGACAGACTGAAGAATTCTCCAATTCCTTTTTGCCATTTTGGAGTTGGGCGTACACAAACTGGATTCCCTCCTGCATACTTATTTTCAGCTGTAAAACATAAAAAAATATAACTAGATAACAAGAATATAGTTGCTATTCCTTTAATGGGAATTTAATACCTTCCTTTAATACCAAATTGTCAAGGACATTATGAAATGGTATTGTTATTGTTGTTGTTATGTGCCGTGGAGTCAGACCCTACTCATAGCGACCCCTCCTTGGGTTTCCGAGGCAGTATCACTACGGAAGTAGATTGCCCCATCTTCCTTCTGAGGAGTGGCTGGTGGGTTTGAACCGTCAGCCTTCTGGTTAGCAGTCAAGTGCCTTAGGCACTAGGCTACCAGAGCTCCATGAAATGGTATTATATCCATCTTAAAAAGAAAGAAAATGTGATATGATAAAGCTGTATTCAGTCAATAAAGCTCAATTCAATAGCTATCATTTAAACTAGAAAAATAGTATTAAGAATTTTTGCCACTGGAAAATATTTTTCATATTTTGTCCACAGCTATTCAAATACTCCTATGATAATACTAAAGTTTAATACACTTTTTCCTGCTGTAAAGGTGATACCATATAGTATGGATTGTCAAAATTTTGCTTAATAAGGTCATTTAGCTAAAGCATATATAAGATGCAAAATATACAGCAATGTCAACATTTCCACAAAAATTGGTTCCATTTCTCAAAGCACTTGGCTCCTTCCTTTTCAGCTCATAAAGTAAATCCAATGCCTGATTATATTTTAAGAATCATGTAGAGGGAAAATCCTTGCCCCTTTAAAAAAGTAACAGAAAACCAATAGAAACAAATTTATAGAGTTACTACATGTATCTATTACTTTAACATGTTTGTCTCAAACTCTAGCTATAACAGAAAGCCTACAAAAGTTGTTTCCATAAAGACTGCATGAGGTTATACTCCATGTACTTTTTCAAATATACAAATGGCCTTTGAAAAATAGTGTTTCTATGGTTCATAGTTTTTCTGAAGGTAACTTACAGAAATGCTTTCACTACTAGATAGTATAGAATAGCAACAGATAGTTCAGTACAGGATTCAAATCTAGCTCTGCTGATTTAGTTGTGTGACCTTTACCAAGTTATATAACCCTGTCTGAAATTTCCTCATCTTTGAAATGAGGATATTGTTAATTTCATACAGTTGTTTCTTGGGGTTAAAAATAAGAGATCTATAAAATGCCTAAAAGGGTGCCCAATACATGGTATCTATACATATTCACTAATGGTAAATTTATATGGTTCTGTGATTCAACAGTGAACCAGACAGTGAGATGTGGCCCTAATGGAATTTAGTTAAGTGCTTTGTTGTTAGTTGCCTTTGAGTAGATTCTGACTCATGGCAACCCATTTGTGCTAAGCTGAACAGTTGCACAGGGTTTTTGAGGTTGTAACTTTTCGGAAGCAGATCATTGGGCCTGTGAATTCTGGGTGGATTCAAACTGCCAACTTACTTAACCATTTGTGCAACATAGAGTATAATAGTTTCAATGCAGGTAAATTAATCTTTCATATTTTTGACTACTATTCCCTTTTATCTAAAGAGACTGAAAGAGTAAATATTTTCAAATGAAATGCTTGAAATATGGTGAAATTTTAGTTAACTTAAAAATCCATGAAGTCCTAGCACAGCCTTTCATATTCTTAATTAGACCTTGCGGAATTAATCTTCCTGCCTGCTCAACTTCTACTAAAAGAATGAATTACCAGATGGCACAGTATTTTCTCCTCTCCACACGCAGAAAGAGCAGCGTGAAGCTATTTCCTTTGCCTGGTTTTCCCTCCTACTCTCCCCAAGGCAGATCAGAAGCTGCAAAGTTGGAAACCACACACAAACACCACTTGAAGAAAGAACAAATGAAAGAAGAAAAACGTGCAGAAACAACAAAAATGATTACACTATGAAGACAATGTGATCACCACTATCAACATGGTGCTAATTCTTAATCTAGTGAGGGGTCACTTAAATAGCCTCTTACAGGAATAAAACTATCTGTCGATATTAGGAAAAATAAACGCTAAAACGAGAAAGAAAAAGTGGTTTGAAGTTAAACAGTGTGCGTTCATAACCCCAAGGCTTGCGATTCTCTTCCTGCCAACCCCACCTCTACCCCAGCCCGCCAAAAGGCCAGAGCTCCCTCATTATATCAAAGACTAAGGAAGAAATTCGGGCTTGAGGATCTCAAGGCAAATTCCAACAGGGGTCGGGGATGAGGGAACGGAAGGACTTGCGGGTCAGGACTGTGTGGTACCAGGCTTGATTCCCTTTTAGGAGGGTTCCTCTTAATCCAGGAGCTTGCAGGAACACATTTTACCTTTCCTGGACGAAAGCGAAGTGGAGTTAGTCGCAGAAGTGGAGGAACCAAGCACTTTTCTGGGGGCTCGAGAAGCCACAACTGCGAAGAGAGGCAAAGGAGGGCGTTAAGAAGAGGACAGTAGGTTCGTATACTGAGCCTCGGAACTATTCTTACCACAGCCCTCAACCTAGAGGCTTGGAAAAAAGAACCCCGTGATCCTGAGCAATCGGATAATCACCACAACCACCCTCTCGCCCTGCAGGGTAAAGGGTCCGGGCCGTTGTTTCTTGTGCGGCTGGCTGAGTTTAGCACAGAACCCAAGGGAGCCCCGGCCACTCCCGTCCGCGGCCCGACTTCTCTGAGGACGCTTAGCCCTCCACTACCGCGCTCGACTGCCTCACCTTTTCGGTAGGTGCCTGGGACACTGTCTGCTTTAGTCCGCACCATATTGAAACTGAAATAGATTAAAGTATTTAAATGCTTTCAGCCGAGGATGTTTCAGGGACAAGGAACCCCAAAACGAATCTCCCGCCACCGTTTATATTGGTCTCCTTCCCGCGCTCTTCACGGGCTCTCCTGAGCCACCGCTCCCATTGGTTCCACGCTGTACTTCCAGGACCAATCACGAGTGTCTGCGGTGACAGCCTCAAGACTCCACACAACGCCAATCCGTCCATCAACTCCTAGAGACTTGTGATTTGTAGCCGCCCCCGTTGGGCGGTACCAGGTCGTTTTCCAGAGGTGCCCAATGTGTGGGTGTTAAGGTTATGAACCCGGGAAATTATCCTGCTTGGAAAAGAAAACCCAGCAGACAAAGAGCGAATTCCAACATTTCTTCAAAAGTTGCTTCAGGGTTAAATCCATGATTGACTCTTGGAAGTGAAAGCTGAAATTAAGCGAATGTTTTGATACAAATCAAAATAAAGATAACTTTTCTTTTTAATACCCCAGACATGACGCTTTCTATAGCGTCCATACTAAAACGATTCTGTAGAGTTGGAGAAAAAGCTAATACAACATATTTACAGAGTTTTTCTATGTTTTTAAAGTGATGAGTAACCAAAAGAAAAACTGGATGATTTGTACATACATTAAAAAAAAAAAAAAAAAAAAACTCACTGCCATGGAGTTGATTCCGACTCATAACGACACCTCTTCGGCTTTCGGAGGCGGTAAATCTTTACGGTAGTAGATTGTCCAGTCTTCTTTCCCCGGAGTGGCTGGTGGGTTGGAACCCCCAACTTTCTGGTTAGCAGTCAAATGTCTTAGGCACTACGTCACCAGAGCCAAACTAGTAAAATGTTTTCTCCAGACCGATATGATTGATGTCAGAGCTATTTAACTTGTGTCCAAATATACTAAGGTTATGGACCTAACCCCTGATACACACTCTGGAATGGAGCTGGTAACTATTTTCTATCCCTGTTTCTGTTTTCTAATTACTCACAACATCCCTGGGGAGTTATTTCCACTTTCTGAATACTATCCATAGGGAGCTCTGGTGGGGAAGAGCCTAAGGCACTTGACTGCTAACCAGAAGGTTGGCAGTCCAAACCCACCAGCCACTCCTCCAGAGGAAGGTTGGGCAATCTACTTCCTTAGAGATACCGCCTCTGAAACTCAAGGAGGGGTCACTATGAATCAGAGATGACTCTACAGCACCTAACAATGTCCATTAGTAACATCCACCCTAGTGCCTTGGGATGTATCTTGTTAAATTCTCACTTGAAAGGCAACTCTAAAAGTGTGAGTAGTGGAACATTGATTTTCTCCAACAAATTATGTTTGAACTTCCAGAAAATAGGATACTAGGTACTTTAACTGGAATCAACAACTACTTTGTTACAAAAACAAACGATTTAGAAAACAGGTTAAATTAACATTATAATAGTAGGAAAAGTATTGAAGATTGCTTGTACTTTGGCTTTAACTACGGAGCCTAAGATTAGAGCTAAATTCCTACCAGAAAAATCAACAAGCCCCAGGGTATTCCTTTCTTCTTGGTCTTCCTGTCCCACCTCCCTGTACTAGGGTTCTTCAAGGTGCATAATTTCCTTTACAGTTAAAGTGTTGCTACATTAGGTCTGAATTACTTAACTGGAACTTATATCACACATCTTTGCAAAGATTGAGAAGTTCAGAGAAAATCTTTTCTGGTAATCCACTTGCCAAGTAAATTGCAAGAAAGAATTGCAAATATATCTTTGCCCACAGGGGCAGTCTATGTCTTACTACAGCTACGTTGTTTGTTTTTGTAGGTTTGTCTTTAATACACTTGATGACAGTGAAAGGTGCATGTTAGAGAAAATTAGGAAAAGAACAGTGACACCTAGTAAAAACCTATAATTTAAATGTTTGCTTTGCAAAAGTGCTTATCCTTTAAAGTTAAATAAAACCAGGGAGCTTGTGGTATGAACCTGAAATTTTTGAAAGCTTAGAGCATTCAAGAAAAGTTGCAGTATTTTGAAGAAAATTTGTGCCTAATTTTTTAATCAAAAGATATTTTTAAGTTATGTTAAATGAGTGTGCTTGCATCATTCAGGCAGAAAAGTGATAATGATTGTATGTGGCATTTTAACTAAAGATCACAATTATTAACAGTATTTATGTTAATCACAAGGATGTAGTAATTTCATCATAATATATATGATGTGCTAAATCCTGGCATACAAAAAGAAGTTAGCAGTTTAATTATGGAGATTGTATATATATGTGTGTGTGTGTGTATATATATATACATATATATGTACGTAAGTATACATATATATATGTATATATGTGTGTGTGTTTATGTATCTGAGGGAGTTCTGGTAGCATAGTGGCTAAAAAGCACTTGACTGCTAACCAGAAGGCTGGCGGTTCAAACCCACCAGCCACTCCTCGGAAGGAAGGTTGGGCAATCTACTTCCGTAGTGATACTGCTTCGGAAACCCAAGGAGGGGTCGCTATGAGTCGGGGCCGACTCGACGGCACATAACAACAACAACAACATATGTATCTGTATATATATGTGTGTGTAAACTCATGCCCTGAAGTCAGTTCCACTAATAGCGGCCCCTCCTCCTTGGGTTTCCGAGGCGGTATCACTACAGAAGTAGATTGTTCAACCTTCCTTCCGAAGAGTGGCTGGTGGGTTTGAACCGCCAGCCTTGTGGTTAGCAGTCAAATGCCTTAGGCACTATGCCACCAGAGCTCCCTGCACAGATATAG